TTCCATTCGGAATCTGTTTGGTTATAAATTTTTTTTTAAGCATTTCACCCCAAGCAAGGCGGGAAGCCACTAGGACGCAAGGAGTTACAGAAAATTTAGAGCAAGATCATATAAGAGCGATAGAAGAAAGAATGAGGGTAGTGGGTAGATCAAGGCAACTGGAGATGTCGATTGACTACACTTGAATAGCTGGAGATTATAGCTCACAGGGAAACAGGAATAGGGAAGGGAGTTCCACAGGCGAGAGGTGAGAGATATGAAGCTATTGGAGTAGAAGATACGGCTACATTTAATAGTTTCGACAGTGAAAGGGTGAGAGCGGGATGCCAGCCTCGTAGGGCGCTTGAACACATGAAGTCTGGGAACCAGCGAATGCAGCTCCTCGGAGCAATTTCCATGAAAGTATTTGTAGAACAGACAGTTACTTTCTGCTATGAAATCAACCTAACGAGTCTTTATATGAACAGATATGAGGGTTTTTTTTTAATCTAGAAATTTAAATCTAGTTGCATTTATTAGATTTCTATTTTAGCTTTGTCATTGGAAAGATTTTACTTGGGACTGAATGATGAACCTTCGAGAAGGCGATTGTTTCTTTGATTTTGCTAACATTATTTCGCGAGAAATAGTTTGTCCATCCTTCTTCTGAAATGTATCGAATAATAATTGAAGACAATGCATCATCAGTACTGAAGGTAGCAAAAGCAATATTTGTCATAGATAGGCTATGGAATAATGAACGAGAAATACTTTACATGTTACTAACTAAGTTTTCTAACTTTAGCAGAGATTGAGATAATATGTGAAGAAAATTCATTGTCTGCACTTGAGGTAATAAAGCCAGTGTTGATCGTGGAGAGGTTACGATGTATTTCACAGGAAATACTTTGTTCTGTGTTTAATACATCTAACAGTGAATGAGATTATAGATGAATAAAATTCGTAGTCTGTGCTAACGGTAGTGAAAGTGATGTTTGTCCTGGAGAAGCGACCAGATATTTCGTGAGAAATAATTTGCCCTGGGTTTTCTTACGGTAGCCGTTAATTCAATAATAGCAGAATATAATATGTATTTCGTAATGAAAGCCGTGAAGCAATGTTTGTCCAAGAGAGGCTACGTAATATTCAGAAAGAAATACTTTATACAGGGTGTTCTTACTCTAACTGTGAATCGGATATTACCTGAATGTAATTCGCAATCGTTTCTTAAGGTAAAGAATCCAATGTTTATCCTTAAGAGCCTGATGTAGTGATATCAGTGTCAGCCAATATCTTGTTAAATGGAAACATCTATACTGTCACAAAAACAGTTTTAGACATTTATTGTCCTGATAATTATTAGCTAAGGGAAATGGACCTCACAAGGAGTATGGCAAATGACACTGACAAAGAAGGTAACTGAATAAAACCAGACATTGGTAAATTACCTTTTTAGACAAAGATGACAAGAAAAAGAACAATCTATACAACAGTGGTCACTACCACCGGAAAATAGAGAGAGCCAGAGAAAGACACAGAGGTAAACAGAAGACTGTCCGCTACCACGCGAAAGGGAAGACACAGGTGCTACCACAGTGGGTTAGGATAGACCTTTGAACAACAGCAATTAAGAGATGACACTACGATCCTCAAAACCTCCAATCTCCCAATTAAAGCCCTTGCCGCCGGATGTAGTTTATCGTCATACCCAGTAGTGCTGGCAAAACGGTTATAAAGTGGAAAATAATAATTCATCACCAACAAAGCCGCTTTTTAGCTCAAGCTAGACAAATGTGGATTGGGCAGCTTCTGCTCAGATATGGCAGCAGTACTCCGTTTTTTGTCTGATCTAGTTCTTATAAAGATAAAGTATAGTAGGAAGGTCAGATACTTACTGGGGCGGTAAAATGAACCAGCCATTTTTTGCGGCAACTTTAGCAAAAGATCGGATCTATAAGTTACACTTGAAGTCTAGAGAATATTTGAGTCCCAATAGATGTTACCAACTTTTAACGGTTGCTATCTGGAAAAGTCATTATCTTTTCTGTAAAAGTGTGCTGAATGTTTTGAAATCATCGATGTGACACCACGCAAAAACATGCAAATTTCAAGTAGTTCAAAAGGAAACCAGAACACATTTAACGCAATAATTGTTTAAATCCCAGCTGCATCCGATCCGAAAAAAATAATGCGAATGTCACTGGCAAATTTAATTACTCCTCGGGATTTCTTTCCGATTCTATCTCAACAAAACAAATAGTAACCGCCCCTAGCAAAAAACTTGCTTTTCCATTTTGCAAAGAGTCTTTTCTACCAACAAAAATGTTTTGTTGCTTAAACCGGAAGTAACTTTACAGTTTCATTAGATGTAATATGAGAACATTAAAATGAATTGTCGTGTTTGCTTTCTTTGTTCATTCCCATTGTTATCAAGTAAAGAAGGGGATTAATTTCTGTCTACACTTCACAGTTGGGCTGTGTAAAGTCTAACTAAAAGCAAAATGAAATTCATCCCATTTCGCACGAATTCAAAATGGAAACAATAAGCGCATGCGCAGCGTCAGAAGACTTTATTAAATGAGTAAATTGTCCGAATGTCATTCTCTTTACCCGTACTCATATCTCAAGGAGTAATTTCCTGTAACTATTTCACCTCAAAGTGATAATGCCACTAAGGCGGAAGAAATTACGAAGTGTGAAAAAGAATGGGTTTTGATTCGCTGATTTTTTTTAGCATCATATCAACATCAATACTGAAATGTCAACATCAATGTCGAAATCTAAATATTTGGAGAGATTTTATGGCTTCAACTAAATATATTTTGGACACAATTGCATGCCTTCAACTACAGATAAAATGTATTACTGGTCATTCTGCTATAAAATGTATTGATAGTCATTCTTTTGTAAAATGTATTGTTGGTCATTCTGTTATGAAATTTATGGTTACTAACTCTGTTATAGAATCTATTTTTGGTCATTCTGTTATAAAATGTATTGTTGGTCATTTGTCTATAAAATGTATTGTTGGTTATTCTGTTATGAAATCTATTAGTGGTTAGTCTCCTATAAAATATATTGTTGGTCATCTGTAAAATGTATTGTTGGTTATTCTGCTATAAAATATATTGTTGGTTATTCTGTTATAAAATGTATTGTTGGTCATTCTGCTATAACATATATTGTTGGTTATTCTGTAATAAAATATATTATTGGTTATTCTGTTATAAAATATATTGTTGGTTATTCTGTTATAAAGTGTATTGTTGGTTATTCGGTAATAAAATATATTGTTGGTTATTCTGTTATAAAATGTATTGTTGGTTATTCTGTAATAAAATATATTGTTGGTTATTCTGTTATAAAATATATTGTTGTTTATTCTTTTATTAAATGTATTGTTGGTTATTTTGTTATAAAATGTATTGTTGGTAATTTATCGTCTTACGCAGGACGCAGATGTAGTTTATCGTCATACTCAGGACAGGGAAGTCTTTGTAATGTTTATATTTATTTGTGCTAAAAATTCTGATAGAGGACAAAATGGCTTTAACTATTTTCTCAAGAAGGACGCTGAAAATACCATGGACTGAACATGTGAGCAATGATGAAGTTTTAGAGAAAATGGAAACAAAAAGGACACTTACACTTAACATCATGAAGAGACAGCTGAAATTTCTGGGGCACATAATGAGGAAGGAGGGCTTGGGAAATTTGATACTCACAGGACAGATTGCGGGAAGAGGGACAGAAGAAAATAATACATAACTTACTTAGTGAGTTTGAGTAAATGGTTGGTGGAACAAGGTTTAGGAGAGATTACAAAAAGACAAAATCTATTAAGACCTACAAGAGACAGGAAATTGTGGAGAGCCATGATCGTCTACGTTCTGAAGGGACATGGCACATGGAAGAAGATGAAAAATGAGCTTGAGTGATTGGATGGCGGAATAAAAATTAGGAGAAATAAAAAAGACAATATTTATTAAGAGCTGCAAAGGACAAGAAATTGTGGAGAGCCATGATCGTCAACGTCCTGAAGGAACACAGCACATAGAAAAAGAAGAACGAGTTTTGGGTAAATGGATGGCAGAAAAAGGTTTAGGAGAAATAACAAAAAGACAAAATTTATTCAGAGCTACAAAGGACAAGACGTTTTGGAGAGACACGTGCAGTGATATCAGCTGTCAGCTGGTATCTTTTTAAGGAAACATCTGGAGGATGTTACAGAAATCCTTTTGATGATTATCAGCTGAGTGAAGCGGACCTCTCAAGAACCATGTCAAACGACGCTGACAAAGGATGTTAGCCGTGTGACGCGGATTTGATGAATTACTTTTTTAGACGAAAGCTGACAGGACGAAGAACGATGTTCCCAACCTACAGGACAGAAAACGGTTCGCGCGCGACGTAAAAGAAAGACATAAGCTCGTTAACCCATTCGATCTCAATTCGTCTCACTCTGCCTCGGTCGCCTTCAGCAGAATGTTGCAACAGAATAAAATTTGCTGACAGCTGCAATCTCGTCTCTGGTTTTATTTCGTGAGTCACGATCTAGCAAGAGTTATTTACCATGTATTAAGCCACAAGCGTTCGACTGTAAGAAATTGCATCCTGAGAACGAACCTGGGGTCTGGTCAGGTGTCTGGCTGCCAACTTCCTGAAGATACACGATGCATAGAAGATAGAAGCAAACAGAAACAAGAAACACGATTAATATTTAAATATAAAAACTAAAGTGACTTCATAAATTACTTGGAGTCCTGATTTGAACTCATGAAGCATGTACCCGTCACCTGATTGGTTTCTGAGTCTGTGCTTTAACTTCTAAAATAAAGCGTGACTTTAACTGAGGTAAATAGTCCCTTCCCGCACTTGTAGAACTTGTAAAACCTACATTAGCCACGGGATATTACTCTCTGTATTGACTGTGATAGCTCGAGATGATATCAGTCACGAATTAACAGGAGGTGCAAATTGAGAAAATTATTGATATCTTTAAGACTATTCGAATTTCATGATCATAACAGGGTGGCAGGAGGAGAATGGGCGAGGGAGAAATAAAGAGGAGAAGGAAAATAATAGAAGGAAAAAGAGAAAAGAGACGAATACTTGAAAGATAAAGAAAGAGAGAAAAAGGAAATGGAAACCGGGAGAAAAGTGTGTGCAGAAAGCGAGGGAGATCGATAGAACTGATAAAGAGAGTGAAATATCGGGGAAAGAGTGTGAAGCTAGGAGAGAGTGAGGAAGAATAGGAGAGGAAAAGAGAAGTTACAAGAGAGTGGGTAAGAAGAGGAAAGTGTGAGAAGTCACGAGAGAGTGGGTAAGAGGAGGAAAGTGTGAGAAGTCACGAGAGAGTAAGAATAAAGAGGAAAGAGTTATAAGTCACGAGAGAGTTGATAAGAAGACGAAAGAGTGAGCAGTCACGAGAGAGTGAAAAGGAAGAGGAAAGAGTGAGAAGTCACGAGAGAGTAAGTAAGAAGAGGAAAGAGTGAGAAGTCACGAGAGAGTGAGAAGGAAGAGGAAAGAGTGAGAAATCACGAGAGAGTGAGTACGAAGAGGAAAGAGTGAGAAGTCACGAGAGTGAGAATAAAGAGGAAAGCGTTAGAAGTCACGAGAGATTTGATAAGAAGACGAAAGGGAGAAATCAAAGGGAAGGAGAAGGAAAGTGTGAGAAGTCACGAGAGAGTGGGTAAGAAAAGGAGAGGAAATGAGAAGTTACAAGAGGGTGAGTAAGAAGAGGTAAGAGAAGACACGAGGGAGTGGGTAAGGTGATGAAAGAGCAAGAAGTCAAGTGAGAGTGAGAATGAAGTGGAAAGAGTGAGAAGTCATGAGAGAGTGGGTAAGAAGATGAAAGAGTGAGAAGTCACGAGAGAGTGGGTAAGAAGAGTGAGAAACCATGAGAGAGTGAAAAGAAGTGGAAACAGAGTGTGTGAAAGAGAAAGACTGGGTAAGAATGCACAGGAGGGAGTGAAAAAAAAGAAAGAAACAAAGAACAGTTAGCAAGGATAACGTTTGAAAGAAAGAGCCAGACAAATACCGAGGAAGAAGATAAAATGAAATTGAGATATATGGAAAAATATAAAAAGGAGGTAGAAGATTTGAGTCCAGGAGATCTTACTGAAGTTATAGTGATAGTCTTTTAGACCGTAGGTGAACAAAAAGGAGGAAAGATGAGAGAGAAAGAAATCAATTGTCAGAACAGGAATGAAAAGAAAGCAAAAAAGAAACTTGCTGTTATGAAGTAGAAAGAAAACATTGAACCCATTGCTCGGTCCGCTGCTTAGAAAATCGGTTCACTATGCTAGACGAGACAATTTTTCTCTCCAGAATCTATCATATATATCTATAAGTCTACTATTCGTCCATGCTTAGAATATTGCTGCTATATATGGTCTGGTGCCCACGTTATATACCTGTACCTCTTTGATAAGATCCAAAAAAGAATCAGCAATATTATTGGTCCTGATCTGGCGGCTCGGCTTCAGTCACTTACCCACCGTCGTAAGGTTGCCTCTCTGTTCCTTTTTTATAAATACTTTCATAATAATTATTCGGACGAGCTCTTCGCTATGGTAAGAATGCGTTGTTTTGGTGTTAGGATTATTGTGCTATGTTTGGGTCAGTGTTTGTGGCTAGCTAAGTTTAATGTTATGACAGAACAAGACTGTCTTTTTCGTCAATCCCCATTTCGGCCTTGTGCCACATTTTCTGTATTTGAAGCGGAAATAAATATCGCTCTTCGCTATCGTACCTAGACTGTATGAATTTAAGCGCAATACTAGACTGGTGGCGAGATCGCATCAATTTACACTTGAGATACCTAGATGTTGCCGTGACTTCTATGCTAACAGTTTATCCTCTCGCACTTCTCGCTTGTGGAACTCTCTTTCGGTTACATGTTTTCCAGCCAACTTCAATCTGAAAAAAATTAATTGCAATGGCAATCGCTATATACTGATTACTCTTTTCTATTTCTCTCTTTACTAATGTTTCTGTTCCTAATTCCTCCACACCCTGTAACCCCTTACGTGTTAGTGGCACTACCTTGCTTGGGGGTAATGCAGATTTAAAAAAAAAAAAGAAAAGAAAAAAAAGAGAGAGACAGGCTCATAGAAATGTGGTGAGGAGAGAGAAAGTGATATTGGAGAGGGAAATAGGTTGAGAGAGTGGAGACAAAGAGTGAGAAATAGAAGAAAAGAAACAGACTGACAGAATAGAGATGAGGAAAGGGAAGAATAGAAAGGAGAAAGATTAATAGTCAAGAGTTGACAAGGAAGGAAGGAAGGCAGGAAGGAAGGAAGGAAGGAAGGAAGGAAGGAAGGAAGGAAGGAAGGAAGGAAGGAAGGAAGGAGACAGGCTGAGCGATTGGAGATAAAGAAGGTAAGAAAAAAGAAGGCTGATAGAATAGCTAAAGAAAGAAAGAAAGAAAGAAAGAAAGAAAGAAAGAAAGAAAGAAAGAAAGAAAGAAAGAAAAGCACAAACAGTGGAAGGAAAGGGAGACAGGTTCAGCGATTGTAGATATAGAAGACAAATAAAGAAGACTGATAGAATAACGATAGATGCGTAGACAAAAAGGAAGGAAGGAAGAGGGGAAAGAAGGAACAAACAGTGACAGAAAAAGGAGACAGATAAAGAAGGCAAGAAGAAAGAAAGAAAGAAAGAAAGAAAGAAAGAAAGAAAGAAAGAAAAGACATAGGTTCATAGAAATATGATGAAGGGAGAAAAAAAAAGACAGAGAAGCGATTTGAGAGAATAATGACGAAGATTGAGAAAGAGAACAAATCAAGCAAATTGAGAGAACAAAGATGAGGAAAGAAAAGGAGAGAAAGAAGAAATAAGATTGATAGACAGCAGACGAGAAGAAAGAAAGAAAGAAGGAAAGAAAGAAAGCGGAAACAGAATCATAGAATAGAGTTGAAGAGACTAAGAGAGAGAGAGAGAGAGAGAGAGAGAGAGAGAGAAAGAGACATTGATAAACTGAAGATGAAAGAAAACGGCAAAAAGGAGAAAGGTTGAATGAATGTAGGTGAAAAGAGCCAAAGAGAGAAAGAGTGAAAGAACTGAGAGGGAGGAAACGGGTAACGGGGGAACGAAGAAAGAAAATGAAGGAGAATGGAAATAGGTGAAATGACTGATAAAATAGGGATATAGAGGTATAGAGAAAGGAAACGATAGAATGGGAAAATAGAGGATAGAGGGAGAGAGAGTGCGCATTTGTGTGTCTGTGCACACGTGTGTGTGAGAGAAAGACAGCAGAAGAAGGGAATAATTGATTGAAAGTGCCTTTTCCGCTTTGGTACCTATACTTTATTAATTTAAGCGCAGTACTAGATTGGCGGCAAGGTCTCATCATTTACAGTTGAAATGGCTAGATGGAACCGTAAGTTTTATGCCAACAATTTCTTCTATTGCACTTCTCTCTTTTTGAACACTCTTCCGGCTTCTTGCCTCCCAATCAACTTCGATCTTCAAAAATTTCAATGCAATGTCAATCGTTATCTTCTGTCTTTTTAATTCCTCTTCTTTTATTCTCCTTTCCCCTCACTAAAATCTTCTAATTCTCTTTCACTATTCTTACTTTCCAGTCAACTTTGAACTTCATAAATTTCAACGCAATGTCAATCGTTATCTTCTGTCTTCTTAATTCCTCTTCTTTTATTGTCCTTTCTCCTCACTAAAGTCTTCTAATTCTCTTTCACTATTCTTACGTTCCAGTCAACTTTGAACTTCATAAACTTCAACGCAATTTCAATCGTTATCTTCTGTCTTCTTAATTCCTCTTCTTTTATTGTCATTTCCCCTCACTAAAGTCTTCTAATTCTCTTTCACTCTTCTTACTTTCCAGTCAACTTTGATCTTCAAAGATTTCAATGCAATGTCAATCGTTAACTTCTGTCATCGTAATTCATGTTCTTTTATCGGCCACTCTCCTTAATAATGTTTGCGTTTTCTCATATTATATTCTACACAGTATCCACTTGCGTCTTAGTGGCTTTATTTCCTTGGTTGGATTAAAATGATTAAAAAAATCGATACAATAAAATTTTGTTTTCTTTTTCTAATATTCTCTCACATTCAGTAACTCCTTACGTCTTCCCTCCTGCGTAAGAAAATAAATTACATCTGGCACCAAGGCCTCTGATCGGAAGGTTTCGAGGAACGTGGAACCACCTCTGAATTACTGTTGTTTCCAGGTCCACCCTGACCTGGGGTGGTAGCACTTGTTATGGTCCCTGTTATGGGTAAATCGTGAACTCGTAAACTGGGGGTCAAAACATTATGAAAGTATAAAAATAGATTTTTATAGTAATAATACCAGCAATATATTTTTGAAAAAAATAAAAATTATTACCAGCAATACATTTTACATTTTGGTAAAATAAATAAATAAATAAAAATAAATAAAAATAAATAAATAAAAATAAATAAATAAATAAATAAAAATAAATAAATAAAAATAAATAAAAATAAATAAATAAAAATAAATAAATAAATAAATAAAAATAAATAAAAATAAATAAATAAAATAAATAAATAAAAAAATAAATAAATAAATAAAAAAAATAAATAAATAAAAATAAATAAATAAATAAATAAAAATAAATATATAAAAATAAATAAATAAATAAATAAAAATAAATATATAAAAATAAATAAATAAAAATAAATAAAAATAAATAAATAAATAAAAATAAATAAATAAATAAAAATTACCAGCGGTGCATTAGGCACTCGACAAAAACCCACTTTATAAAAATATGCCAATGAAACCTGACCTACAATCTGATTTCTTACAAAGAATATATATTGTAGTCATACGAATCTATCCTAAAATCTTGTGATATATAAATAAACCATTGAGGTTGATATGCAGTAAAACAAAATAAACGAACAAACCAAACGAAACTTTATTTCACACCAAGTAAGGTAATAAAAGCACTACTTTTATTGCCTTACTTGGGGTGAAATGATTAGAAAAAAAACCCAGCGGAACAAAGCGGAGTTGCGGTTGTTTATTTGTATCTTTTTACTAAATATTCACCCAATAAGTCTCGAGAGCCACTCAAGGTAGAGGGTTACTGAATAAGGCTCTTCCATTGGAGTAAGAGGAGAAGCTAAGGACAGACTATTATGATATATAGCACAGATAACCTCCTAGACTTGAGGAGGCTAAGATTGTAGTCGTCGGGAAAGCATTTTTGGGAGTCTGTTCCACAAAGTAGTAGCAAATGTCTGAGTAGAACTCACGAAGAGAATGGAGATGGTTCAACCCTGTGCATGATGGATGTCGAGCCCTAGCTATAAATATCTGAACTAGTGGAACTAAAAAAAGCAGTTCGTCTGAACATTTGCTTGGAAATAGCGTAAGATTGCGAGGTTTCGTCGGTGGACGATGGAATTGAAAATAATTATCCCCCACAAGCCTCACAACCGACCTTAAGTTGAACTCCAATCCATCGTTAAAGACTAAAGTAAAATGATCGGCTCCCTGTACCGCTCCAGTAAGTATCTGACTCCTCATGCTATCCTTTACGTTTATAAGCGATCAGGCCGAAAATGGAGTACAGTTTTCATATTTGGCCAAAAGCTGACCGGTGCTCGCTTTCCATTCTTGATAGAGTTCAAAAGTGCGTTTGAGTCCTTGATGGAGAAGAAATATTTCCCACCATTAAACCTCTCTCTTACAGATGGCGAGCCTCTCACTGTTCTATCGTTACTTTCCCGGAAAGTGCTTGGACGACTACATTCCTTGGTTCCGCCAGGTCTAATCTTCACGGCTAGGATACGCCATGCCACTTACATCGTAGCAAACCACCCACATTCCCTCCGTATTCCAATGGCAATAAGGAAGTTCCACTCGAACAACATCGCCCCGGAAACCGCTGCTCTGTGGAACAGACACCCAACAGGATGTTTCCCTGATTACTAGAATCTTAACCTGTTCAAGTCTAGAGTTAAACGTTACCTTCCCCTCCTATCCATATAAACTACCTCTTAACATAACCTTTTACCTTGAGCAGCCACCGGCTCATGCACAGGGTGAAACTTACTGTAAAAAAAGCCGTGTAAACTAGTTAGGACCCTATCAAAGCTGGAAAGTGAATAATATGCAGCTCCAGCCCAGATATGGCAGCAATACTTCATTTTGGGTCTAATCTGACTCTTGTAAAGATGAAGCAGGCAGAACGACTCTATCAAGGCAGGGAAGTGAGGATTGTGCAACTCCAGCCTAGATATGACAGCAATACTCAATTTTGGGTCTAATCTGAATCTTGTGAAAATGAAGCATGGTAGAAAGACTCTATCAAGGCTGGAAAGTGAGGATTGTACAGCTCCAACCCAGATATGACAGCAATACTCCATTTTGGGTCTCATCTGACCCTTGTAAAGATGCAGTGTGGCAGAAGGACTCTCGAGAAAGTCTTGAAGACTGCGTAAAGAGTTGTTACAAATATCTATTTTCTTGTGTCGCTAATATTAACATAAAAAAGCGTAGCCACGTATCGGCTTTATGAGCCGTATCCCTTCAGGACGAAGATGATCATGGCTCTCCACAATTTCCTGTCTTTTGTAGTTCTTAATAAATTTTGTCTTTTTGTTATCTCTCCTAAACCTTGTCCTGCCAACCATTTACTCAAGCACACAAAGTATGTCATCCGTTTTTTCCTCTTGGCTTCAAGCTGTCTTTGTGAGTACCAAATTTTTCAGGTCTTTCCTCTTTATTTGCTCTAGAAATTTCAAATGTCTTTTCCTGATGTTACATATGTTTCTCTTTTGTTTCCATTTTCTCGGAAACTTCGTCGGACCATGGTATTGAAAGCAGTAGAAAAATCTAAAAATAAAAATAATAAAGAAATAGTTTAGCAGACTACTATTTTTAGGAGATGTGTATCTCGGCTCCTGACATTCAGGGTCAGATGTTTAATAAGAAAGTCGATTTTGACTGGCTGAGCTAACGTGGGAAAGAGATAGGAGAATAGTTTCGGGAGATGTTGACGTGTTCTCTTTCATGTCTGAAACGGCTCCTCAGTGATGTGCGAGGGGATCCCCACTGGATATTTAGATAATATACATGTCGACAAGAGTAATAAAAATAGTTAAGTTAAAAGTCTCTGTGTTTGAAGTCTTTCATTGCTGAACCAAAACGATTAGCGATCGTCGACCGAGAGAATGCAACAAAATGACTTCTTCTTTATGTGCCGTGTCCCTTCAGGACGTAGGTGACCATGGCTGTCCACAATTTCTTGACTTTCGAAGCCTTTAATAAATTTCGTGCTTTTGATATTTCTCCTAAAACAGATACCACTTCACTTGAGGACTTTTAACAAAAACAAAAACTAAACTGGATATGACGTATAACTCGAAGAGAAAATAAATGACATAATTAAAATATTGATGTTCCACACTACTTCGAACAAAAGGTTAGGAAGTAAACCTCCATCGATATTGAAAAGAGCAATAACAGATACTGGACTTGAAAACTTGTTTTAATAGAAAGATTTTATAAATGTTATCCAGAAGTAGCACTGGGTGCTCGGTCAATGAATGCCGAATGTTTCCTTATAAGGAAACGGCTAATATTACCAAAAAAAAGCGAAGTGGGGAATCAAGTAGTGGAAACCCCTGCAAGTATTCTTTTTCATTGCATCAGATATCCCCTCAGGACAGAGGCGATCATGGCTCTCCAAAATGCCCCTTGCAGCGATTAATAAATTTTCTATATTTCCTAAACCCCGTTCCGCCATCTATTTACTCAAGGTCACTAAGCATGTTATGCATTTTCCTCTGTCTCTCTTGTCATCAATCTGCCTTGTGAGTATCAGATTTTCGAAGCCCTCTTTCATTATGTGCACTAGAAACTTCAGATGTCCCTGATGTTAATTATGTTTCATTTTTGTTTCTCTAAAACTTCGTCGTTGCTAACATGTTCAGTCCATAATATCCTCAGCATTTTTCTGTAGATCCACATTTATATTGTCCCAAGTCTCTTCTTCATCTTTGAAGAGATTGTCAAGCATCCACTGCTGTACAAGACGAGGGATATCACGTAACAGTTCAGTACTATTTTTCTTTTTTCGAACGAATTTTGTCTCTGTTTTTAACACGTAGGCTCCCACACGACCCACCTGAGGGTCGTGATGGCATGTCTGCAAGGCCCACACGACCCTCTGATGTATTGTTTCCCATTTTTGTTTCTATGGAGATTATTGGAATTGGGATGCTAAGATTAATTGCTTATGAGATCATGGTACACCAGAAACACATTTCTATCCAAAAAAAATTAACTTTTTTTTTTATTTTTTTACTCTTTTATTTCTCTCTTAGAATTTCTACTCCTTTTGTTTTATTTTTAGGGGGTATTTTTTTACATACACAGAGCTGTACCATGCATTCAAGTAAACTAAAAGATTCAGTCAATTGAAATTTTAATTATGAATTTAAAAAAAAAGTATAATTTATTTATTAAGGAAATCAAAATAATGCCTACACCCATTAATATAAACATAAGAATTCGAATCTAATAGAAATCAAATTCTTAATAAATAAATAAATAAAACTCACTGAAAAGATATAAAAGAAAAAATATAAAAGCACATATTGTTACACAACTAATAAAAGCTGAATTGATTCTTATTGAAGCACTCAAGGCAAACGGAAGGATTACCTTCACATTCAGCACAAAATGGATTTTTTTTCTTGTTTTATCAACTTCCTTTGCCCTCATTGTTTTTCTCATTTCGCTCTAACGGGATTTAAGATATAATGTTGGGACCCTGTGGCAACAAGGGAAACGACGCTTAGCACCCAATGCGTTAATCTGCTTATGGTTGATTGAAAAGAAGATACAGACTGGGTTAAAAGAATAATAAATGAATATGTTTATTATCCTTTTAATTTTATAGCTCGTGGTAAATCCATGGTGTTAGTGAGTGTTCACTTGTAGGTCGGTCATGTTAGCTTGAACAATACGGTTAGTAGGATTCTGTAAGGATAGCGAAAACAATAAGAAAAGGAACTGTGGTAGAAGCCTACCAGAATGAAATGCATTCAGATAATTTTGTTACCATTTCAGTTAAGTGCCATACGTGATACACGTCTGTGCGATCACGTCTCTTTCGATTTCTCGCAATTGGTAGTCATTCTTTTCTGCGGTAGACTGGTTACCAGGCAAGGTTGTAGAACACAGTCTGTCCTGCTATTTAACACATAGCTGAGGAGATAGAGATAGCTTCATATATTTCCCTAGAGTATTTGCGCGTAAGTGATTGTAATTCACCTGATTGGAATTCTAACACGTACATCCAATGTTACAGCACCTGGTATTGTCAAGTGGTCACTCATCTAGGTACTGGTTTGTTTTTTTTACGGTATATCAACCTCAATGAGTTATTTAATGCCGACAAGATTTTTATTGCTGGTAATATTTTCGTTCTATCTATCTATCTATCTATCTATCTATCTATCTATCTATCTATCTATCTATCTATTTGAGTATATAGTGGTTTGATTTGGGCACCTCGGCGTGGTGTAATGGTTAGCAAGCTTGTCTTGCTAGATCAATTGCGAGTGAGTTCGATCCTCACTGGATACCCCATACTTTCGGCTTTGTGCCACATCTAAGCCAGGCTTAGAAAATCACTATTTTGGTTTTTCTTAAGACATATCAATCTCAATGGGTTATTTAATGCCGGCAAGATTTTTATTGTTGGCAATATTTTCTATCTATCTATCTATCTATCTATCTATCTATCTATCTATCTCAGTATATGTTGGTTTCGTTTGTTTTACGGCATATCAACACCTCAATGGGTTATTTAATGCCGACAAGATTTTTATTGCTGGTAATATTTTTTCCAAAAATGTATTGCTGGTAATATCTTTTCTTACAAAAATCTATTACTGGTAATATTTTTTTCTTAAAAAATGTATTGCTTGAAATATTTTTTTCTGCAAAAATGTATTGCTGGTAATAATGTATTGCTGGTAATACATTTTACAAAGTATTTCTGGTATTAAAACCTATTTTTACACTTTCATAGTGTTTTAACTCCGGTTTGGGTGTTAACTATTTGCCCATAGTTGGGACCCTAACAGGTGCTACCACCCCGGGCCTGGGAACACCAGCAATTAAGAGGTGGTTCCAAGCTCCTCAAAACCTCCTGATCAGAGGCCTTGCTGTTGGATGGAGTTTATCGTCTTCTGAAGTCCCAGCCAACAGGGCGGCATCTAGGTACAGACCAAGCTTGATGATTATCATAAAGGTAAAACGGGTCATAAACAAAGGTAAGTGAAATGTCTAGACAAACTGATGGGATCCTCTAAAAGTAATAAAACTATTTTGTCTTGAACGTTCGTCGTAGAAACATACAGTAGACATGTTAAGAAGAAGAGAGATAAGTAAAGAATTTTAAGTATAAATAAGCAGAGAGAGATAAGATTAATAGAAGGAATCAAGACAAGGAAATGGAGAGAAATAAACTAGATAGAAAGAATAAGATGTCACAGACAAAATAACCGAATGGATGAGAAAAGGGGGAAAAAGAAAGAACACATGAGATAGAGAAAGTGAGGGAGGGATAAAAGAATTTTTTTAAAAAGTCGTTCACACACAGAGTGCCTCTTAATGTCATGATATTTGGAACCAAATCCTTCAACGATGTTCGTGTAGCACAAAGTCATAGACAAGTGAATGAGACTGGAATAATGAAAGCGAAAGAAAATGTAGAAAAGAATTGTTACGAATTTGCAAACAATAATTCCGGGTGCGTTCGAATGTCAAACGAACTTTCGCCAAACAAAAACAAAATACTGCTTTTGTTGTTGCTGTTGTTGTTGTTGGTGGTGGTGGTTTCAGATAAAAATGTCTTTCTTCGATTTCCAAAATAATAATAAAAAAAAAAAAAGATCGCAGATAGCAGAAGAATCAATGGCACTGTACATCCACAACTCTTTACCAACCAGTCAGCTTTTATATTACGCTTTGTCTTAAGAAGCGTTTACTTCATTTCGCCTCCGCGTCTATAACACTACTCCTCCTCTTCCTCCTCCTCCTCTTCCTCCTCCTCATCTTCCCCTCCTCCTCCTCCTCCTCTTCTTCTTCTTCTTCTTCTTCTTCTTCCTCTTCTTCTTCTTCTTCTTCTTCTTCTTCTTCTTTATCACCTGATCGTTTTTATTGTTTCAGCTTCTTTTTCTCGTTTTTGTTCTCTTCTTTTTTTATCTTTATCACTTGTCCGTTTTTATGTTTTATTGTTTTTTCATCATCATTTCATTTTCTTTATCCTCGAGATGTTTCCTCTTCCTCCTCTTCTTCTTCTTCTTCTTCTTTTTCTTCTTCTTCTTCTTCTTCTTCTTCTTCTTCTATATTCTAATTTTGCTTTACCTTTCTTCATTATGTCTCTCTTCTTTTTTGATTTTCTTTCTTTTTTCTCGCCTTTCTCTTCCTTCTTATTTTGGTTTACCCTTCTTCTTCTTCTTCTTCTTCTTCTTCTTCTTCTTCTTCTTCTTCTTCTTCTTCTTCTAACTGTTTAATTTTCATTGACTCTCTTTCTCACTTCGTCTTTTGTCGCCTCTTCGCCGTCCCCGCCCCCCATGATTTTTCTTTGCCATCATCTCATAGTGAAACAAAGAAAAGCCCGGGAAAACAAAACGTCACGCTGCAGGTGTAAAAGAGTGTGTGACTGAGATAGAAAAAGAGAGAGAGAGTGTGTGGGAGAGAGAAAAAGAAAGAAAAAGAGAGAGAGAGAAAAAAAAAAGAGAGAAGTAAACCAAAACAGCGCAACATGATTTTTCGGTGTAAGTGATTAGAAAAGACGAAAAATAAACTGGAAGTTGTCGAACGAACATAAGAAACACGAACTAAAAAAAAGAAGAAATTCTTTAAAAAGTCATGAAAAAAATTCAAAAGATTTTGAATCAAAGAACACTTCGAATTGTACGCCGCGATGTGAAGTACTGGCAAGCTCACTAAGAGGGCCTGACGTCCCGACGCGCATGCGCACACGTTTAGCGTTCCACCAATGACAATGGCCGACAGGGTTTCATGACGAGCTTTAGACACGAAACTCAAGAGACGTTTCTTTCGGGGTTATGACAACGTTAATCAGGTTTTGATGGCATACCTGTAACCTTTACGGATGCGCCTCAAGTGAAATCATGTGTGGGTGTACGTAGCTGGATGTACACGCCTAAATATGCACTTATATACATAAAGGCTATGTTGGATAGACATATAATATCATGCGGGTATATGTTATGATCTATATATATATCAACGTTATATTATATCACACACACACACACACACACACACATATATATATATATATATATATATATTGGGGAGGTTGTGTGCACATCTAGGGTACATTTTAAGAAACAAAAAATAAATGTGTGTGATGGTTGATAAGTCTGTCTTAATTATCAATAATGAGTTCAATTCTTATGGTTGGTTAGTTAAGATATGGGACGTGTTATGCGTAATACGAATAAACCAATATATTTATATATACATTAGAAGCACAGACACACACACACACACACACACACACACACACACACACACACATATATATATATATATATAGTAAGGTAAAAAGGATTTGCTTGATTATTAAATATATATATATATATATATATATATATATATATATATGATTATTTCTTTTTAAATATGATTCCCTTGCTACATAAGAGTTCTCATGTTTCAAAAACGAGAGCCGAAACCCTCTATATAATTATTAAAATTAAATTGAATTAAGGTATCAAGCGCTGTTTCATCCTCAAGCGAAAAATTTAAGCTCTACTTCTCTATGGAGCACTGTTTTTTTTAAAATAAAAGCAAAAATACTAAAGAACTCCGGATTATTTACCTAACGTGTTCTTTGCTATTTTTCTACATATCTGCACACACACACACACACACACACACACACACACACACACATATATATATATATATATATATATATATATATATATAATTTTATTTTGGATATAAAAACAAAAACATTTGGAAATGGCTAAACAATAGTTTCCGTACTACGTTGTATTTCGTAAGGCGAATGGTAAGTGACTGGTGATTAAATAATTTTTTAAAATTTCAAAAGCAAAATGTTACCTGTTTTCAGAAAGATAAAGGGGTGGTGGAAGAAAACAATTGGTCAGAATTAAAAATAGACTTTTAAAATTTTTAAAAAAATATTTAATCACAAGTCACCTACTATTTGCCTGAAGATGTACAACGTATTACCGAAACACGGAATCTATTCTGTAGCGATTTCAACATGTTTTTGTTTTAATATCTAAAATAAAATAATAATATATTGCTTTATATTTTTTTAAAAATAAATTATACAATCAGCGGAATTTTATTTTTCTCATTTGGATATATATATATATATATATATATATACATATAGAAAAAGTTGCAAATTAAAAAAATAATAATGTACTTTTATGAAAGTATTTATTCATTTGTATATATATTTGATATTTCAGATTGGCCTCAATCTTTCTTCAGAAATAACTGTTTGTTTACAAGTAGCGTCCGTCGCGAGATGCGGACGTCACGTGATATGGAACGAATATTCCTAATGTAAATCTAACTGTAATAATATCTTAGATGTTGTTTAAAAAAATAAAAAAAATAAATAAAATAAGAAATAAAAAGAATTTTTTAACTATATCTAAAAAATGTTTAACTATTGAAATATTTATAAAGATTTAAAATACCCAAGTCTTTATTTAACCCTAGTTTATATGTATTTAATTTTAAAATGCAGTATTTTTCTTTTTTATCCGCGTGTGTATGTGGAACGGAAATCAGAATCTATCAATAAACATTTACATTTTTCTAATGAGTGTCCTGATTGATTAAAGTGTTCAGCTATGGGGGAGTAAGTATTGTTTTGACGTATGGTTTGTTTATGATTGTTGAAGCGAAATCTAAAATTATTTCCAGATTCACCAATATATCCACTATTAGGACATAAGGTGCAGAATAAATAGTAGATCATGTTATGGCTATCACAGATGAGCTGAGGTGGGCG